ATAGCACTGGCATATAATAAGAAAACAGCAGCATTTCATTGATTAATCATCCCTAAATATTCATTTCTTGTCTTTCCTAGAGAAGGTAGAAACCCTTCTAAATCTCTCTTGTCATCGTCTTAGTCCCTGTCTTACTGTTTGTTCTGAAAAATGACCTCCAAGTTTGTGTCTTATATATTCTGGTATATTTGTGTTGTTATTTAATAATTGACTTGACTAACCTTGCTGAACTGCATCTATCTTCAGTGTTGTAATTTCTCAACAATGTGTATCAACAGAACTCATCTTGTTCATTAATAGAGACATCTCTTTTTGTGGTTAAAGCCCACAGTCTTCCTAAAGATACATTTCTGTGGAGAATAAACAGATTTTACATATAATGGGGACTGAGATGAGAAAACTGTGTTCTTTGTTACTAATCTTTAGCACTGTGAATTTCGGCTGAGCCTTCAAAGCCAGACATTAGCCAACGAATATTGACTCTGGCTGGAGTCTGGATTTCATCTGGTGCGCACTGTGGTTAGGCCAGCTGATTGATGAGTCTGTTCTATATGGTAGGTGTGCCCTTGCGTTGTTATTGCTCAAATTGGCTCTGTCCCCTGGGGACATTACAGAACTGAGGTTTGGTTCTTAGAGGGCACTGGGTCAAGATGCAGGTGGTGCCTGTGGTGGCTGTGGATATTTTTAAGAAAATAGACTTGCTGGCTTAAGGATAAGTCAGTCCCTCAGGCTTTAGAGCAGCACCACGTCTAGCGTGGGCCTTGCTTGGCCTCGGAACGTCAGCATCACTCCATGAAGGAGAAACACAGATCCCTGTGGTTCTGAGAAGCTCCATATGCAGAGAGCGGATTGCTTTTTTTCAGAGCATGTGTCTTATCATGTTTCCTTTCACACAATGACTGTTGGGTGGGCCCTGATCGCCACCGCAGATGCCTCTCTTGGGCCCGCTAAGCCTTCCTGGGGGTGGTGCTCTTGCTGCATCCGTGCCTGCTGTGCACGTGTTGTGTGAGACTGAAAGCAAATTAAAAACCAAAAGCGTGGCACGCTTATGTAACTCTGAAACATGAGGGACGTCAGCCCAGCGAAGGGATATTTTCCAGTGAAAAGCACACCCCATTACTGGGTTGTTCCTGAAAACTTGATCTGTGGTTCCTACTTCCCAAGGATGTGGAGAGCAGCCAGAGTCCCTTTGTGCCGCGAGCAGGCTGCCTGTAGCCAGAGGCAGTGGGGCCTGGCCTGCTCTCGTGTCTCCGCTGGTTTTATGGGCATATTTCTCACACCCTGTTCACTATTAAATATAAAATGAGGCACACATCACATGTCTCAGGCTGTAAGACCCATTTCCTGCTAATAAGCTTCTCGTTTGCCTGGGCTTTCCCTAGTCTAACTCCCCAGAGGCTCCCATTATGGATTTCTAGTTTTGTAGCTTTTTTTTTCCTTCCTTTTTTTGGCTCTGATATATTGAAAGAAATGAAGTTAGTGAGCTTTATTCAGGGAGCCAGGAGCAGATATTCTATGCAAACAGAGAAGGACAGCTTTGTCCCACTTAAACTAGGGGCTACAGAAAACAAAACTCTGAGCTGCTGTGTGCCTGCCTGTCCTGCCCTGGGCTGGGCCAGTGCCTGCTAGTTTCACACTGCAGATGGGACACACCACAGGAGTTTGAGGCTTCAAAGGAGCATGTTCCTTCACAGCAGGGCAATGCTGGGGTGGCCCCTGTCTTTGACCTGCCTTATAAAATCCAGTAGCCCCAGGGTAAGGCAACTCTGGGAGTAGCCCAGGCTGCTGGGTGGAGATCAGCAAGTATACATGCCAAAGCCCTCGATTCCAGGCCAGCCTCTCAACATCCCCAGCCAGGCCCCTCTGGGATGTCCCATGTAAGGATACAGGCTCATTTGTCGGTAAAATCTAGGGCATGCAGGGGGAACACAGGAATGAGACCGGTCCTCTCACCCCTTTCAGAGTGACAGCAATAGCCCGGAGGGTGCAGGCTGGAGTCAGGGGGACAGGAAGTGGAGGTGGTGTCTTGGGAAAGGAGTGGTCCAGGGCACTTGGGGCAGGGCTCTGCCTGCAGCTGACCCTCCAGCCGGCCCCCCTGGGACCCTGGCCTCTTCTGCGACCCCAAGGGGAGTCCCTGCCATCATCTGACATTTTCTGCTGGTGCATAGTCTGTGCCAGCCCCATGTAAAACCCTGCTATAAAGGCTGGAAGGAGACCCACCCTGACGTGTCTTTCGGATGGGGAAATTAAGGCTGGGGGAGAAGACTGTGCTGGCTTGCAGGGCAGGGGGGCCTGGCTTCCTTGTGTGCTGACTCCCCCCTTGGAAGATCCAGTCTCTGCACCCTCCTGTCCTTGGTGTCTGGGGAACTGGGCACGGGTAAGGCCGTGGTCTCTGTCCCAGTGTCCTTGAGCACTGTGAGCCACTACCTCAAGCTGAGCAGCGGCTCTAAGCTCTTTTCAGGCCATCAGGGACTTGGTTGGAAAACATATGGCTGCACTGGGTTATCTTAGGCATGTTTTGTTGATGAAAGGCCTGAAATGCAGACAAACACCTTGTTTCAGTATTTGGACTTGGCTAAAATTTTTTTTCTATATTGTCAATGGAAAAAAGAGGGACATTTGAACAGCAGATTAACAGGGTATGAAAGAGAACACAGGCTTCCTGTTTTTCTCTTAAACACTTTAATGATGTCCACAGATCTACAGAAAGGAGGGCTGGAAGGACCTTAGGGATCCTCGCGGCTAACCAGCTCATTTTACACATGAGCAAACTGAGGCCTCAGGGTTTGGCTGCAGACTTAATTAGCTAATACGCCTGGCCAGGCGCCGAGGGTCCTGTCTCACTGGCTGGTCCTGTCTGTGCTGGAGCCCACAATTATTCACAGACGGCATTCAGTGTGCTGAATTAGTATCAATGGTGAATTTGCTACCAACATACGATCCTTATTTATTCAGACCCACCACCCATTCAACAGCTGTCTGTCTAGCGCCTCCTTCTGAGTGTGGGTGGGAACATGCAAAGATGAATGAAGTGTACAAGGAGCTTACAGCTCAGAGGAGAAGCCCTGGTTTCTACACCAGTCGTCTTATTTCCAGATGGGTTGTACTACATGTCATGTGAAAGGAATGAGTGACCTCCGGAATGGTTGCCAGAAAGGGAGATGGCTTTGTCTATTGTGAGCAAAGACATTTTTGTGGGCTTCATGACCCCTGGCTTGGCCTTGAAGGACTCATTTGATTTGGGCAGGTAAAGAAGAAGGCAGGGTGAAGAGGAAGAGGGTGGCAAGTGAAATAATTGGATGGGGTAGTACAGTGGTTTGAAAAACAGCCCCCTAAAGTAGCAGGTGCTCATCTCTGCAACCTGTGAATGTTACCTTGGAAAAAGGGCTTTTGCAGATGTAATCGATTTAAGGATCTTGAGATGGGGAGGTTATCCTGGATTGTCTGGGTGGTCCCTAAATGCAAAGGCAAGAGTTCCTCTAAGAGGGAGGAAGAAGAAGATCACAGACAGAGTGGGAGAAGGCAGCCTGACTGCAGAGGCAGAGGATGGAGTGTGCGGCCACAAGGCAAGGGATGTCAGCAGCCACTGGAAGCTGTGAGGAGACAAGAGCAACCCCCCGGACCCCCTAGTGGCCCTGTCCACACCTTGACTTTGGTCCAATGATTCTGACTTCAGACTTTTGGCTTTCAGACTGTGAGAGAATAAATTTCTGTTGTTTGAAGCAACCAAGTTAGTGGTGGTTTGTTACAGCATCCATAGGAAATCGATATAAGCAGGAAAGGACAAAGCCTGTTCAGGAAAGGGTGTGATTCAAGGATAATATCTGGGAGCAAGTCAGATATTTAGAAAAGCAGTAACTAAATGGATTAGGGCCAAGTGGCTTGTGTTAAGTTCTAAGTGTTCCTGCAAGTGTCTGTGTGGATCTTACCTTTCTGACCCGCATGTAGGGCTCTGAAGGAGAACCACGATGCCAGCAAGTGGTGGTTATTTCTCTGTGGTACTAACTACGGCGCTTCTCAGGTACAGACAGCCAATGCGTGTTGAATGGCATGATGAATGTTGGCAGCTGCCACACCTGGGCTTGCACTGGGTTGTTGGATGAAAAATCAAGGCTGGCCAAGTCTGGCACTCAGATACGATGGATGAGCCTCTCAGCTTCAGACTGTGATCTTGAATTCACCATGTCATCCCTCGGAGGGGTGTGATGTGTTAGGAAATACTCAGCCAACCCAGAACTAATGCCACAGGGACCCTGGAGGGAGGGACTCTGGGTGAAGCAGAGCAGGTCCTGTTGGAGCAAGAAGATGGGAGACCACGTGCCCAGTGAAATGGCCTTATTGATAGCAGGGCCAGCCTCAGAGAATGTGATTAAAGGTGTCTTTTGGGCTTTGATTACACCCTTATTGATCTGAAGTTGTTTATAGCCATGAAACAAATGTAAATTAGAGGAATGAAATAAAAACATCAGGATAGTTATCTCCTATCCTACTGTGAGGCTGAAAAAGCTTTCTGCACAGCTGCCGCAGGGAGCTGAAATACAAGTCTGTATAGGAATCTCAGTCTCCTTTCCTCCTAATGGCCAAAATTACAAGGCAGTTTTTCTTGTCACAGGCTAAACCTCATCTTCATCTTTGCCTAGGAAGTGCCTTGGCAGACATCGTTTTCTGCGGGGACCGCTGTCTAATTGTGTACCTGCTGCAGTGTTCAGGATGCTCAGGGCCAGTTACCTCCTCCTTCCCAAACTTTGTCCTCTCCCCCCGCCACCCGGCCCTCTCCTCCCTGTTTTTCTTCTCTCTTCCTTTCCTCCTCCCTTTTTTCTTTTTGTTCTCTTTTTCCTTTTTTTTGTTCTTCTTTTGGCCGCTCTTTTACTGAGTTAAAGGGTTTTGACACATCACTATTTGTAAAGCAGTTAGGAGTTTTTAGTAGACAATCACCAATAATTTCAATGCAGTAAACTAAGCCATGTGACCATTGGACTTTCTTTGCTTTCTCCTTGTAGAAATCCGAGAGGCCTTTCGGGTTCTGGACCGAGACGGGAATGGCTTCATCTCCAAGCAGGAGCTGGGAATGGCCATGCGCTCTCTGGGGTACATGCCGAGTGAGGTGGAGCTGGCCATCATCATGCAGCGCCTGGACATGGACGGTGAGACTCCGGCCAGCAGCCTCTCTCCTCAGATGGGCCGTGACTCATCAGCGAGGCTTTTGATTTAAAGGGTCCTATACTTTGAGTCAGAAAACTTGGTTTCATGTCTTAGTTAACATTTGAGGAGTAGAAACTTGGACTAGATCATTCCACACAGCGCTAGGGGCCTGCAGAGGTGGTTCCGGGGCCACTAGAGGGAGCAGGGTGAAGGAGGCCTGGATGGCAAAGCAGTGAGAGCAGGCTTTCTTTCCTTTTTTATTTTATTTTTTAAATTTTTTTAGTAACAGCTTTATTGAGATAGAATACACACACCATAAAATTCGCCCATTTAACCTGCGAAATTCACAGGTTTGTGCAACCAGGGCCATAATCAAGTCTATAACATTTCACCACTCCGAAAGAAGCCTGGCGCCCCTTAGCCATCACCTCCCAACCTCCCTCCTCCCTCTCGCTTAGGCAACCACTGAGCTGCTTTCTATCTTTATGGGTTTGCCTCTTCTGGACATTTCATTCAAAAAGATTTAGGCAACATGTGGTCTTTTGTGACTGGCTTCTTTCGTGTCACATAATGTTTGCAAGGTTCATTGATGCTACAGCACGTGTCAGTACTTCAGCTCTTTTTATGGCCAAATAATATTTTACTGTATGGATACAATAGCTTCTTTTCTCTCTGTTTTACATGCTGGAGTTCTACACACAACTTTGTGGGGAAAGGGCTTTCACTGTATTTTGAAAATTCTGAAAAACAACAGCCTTAGATAATCTTTATGGTTTCCCCCCTCTAAAGCCCCGAGTCTATCCCATACTGGCTGTGACCCTCCTGACATTTAAATCCTGCCTTGGCTGAAGGTCCAGAAAGGAGCCCCCCGCTTTTTTTTTAAACATACACACTTCTGAAAAGAAGCGTAAGAGGCCCAGAGGGGTGGACTGTTGGGACTCTTGTTAGAACATGAAGTACAAACCAAGTGAAAGAAAGTAGAAGAGGGGACTAGGACATCTTTTTGAAATAAGGCCAAAGTAGGGAGAGGTTTGCTTGGTCTGCAGGCCAGTTGGAAGAATGAGGTTCTCTTCTATTATCTCGTGGAACCTGTTGGAAGGTCGACAGTAAGGCTGACCGCATGGTGAATGAACGACAGCATCACCCTCCAGGTGCAGCGGGGGACCTTTGTTTTCCAGCTCAGGACAGAGACGTTGTATCAGGGATGTTCAGTTGTGTGAGCAGGGCCAGCCTTGTCCTTATTGCTCTGATAGATTGTGAATCATCCTGTCTTTTCAGCCTTGATTTGACCTTTCTTTTCATTTTAGAAGTGTTTTTGAAAAGCTGGAGCAAAGCACACATTGTATAGCAAATGGGGGTCTTTCCCATTGACCCCCATCATTATTTTAGAGATGCGTTTCCAGAAAAAAGGTTTCCTCTCTAAAATAATAAAAATTTTAATCTTACCTCTGCATATGAAAGCAAGAAGGTTTTGTGCTTTGATTCTCCCCACAACTACTATAGTAAAACTTAGTCAAATGGACTAAAAGCAAGTGGAATTAGCAACATTCATTAAAAAATGATCTGCGGCTATTGTCAGGGAGTAACTCCTAGGAGGTTTGAAGGATCTTCATCAAAGTCCGTCCTTGTTCTTTGTATATTCACTCAGTGTCACCAGCTCCTGGGGAATTTTTACACTATTGCAAATCCTCCCTGATTCCAGGAGGCCTTTTAGTGCCAGGGGACCCATGTGATGATTATTCAAGGGGCTCAGCAGGACTTGGGCAAATGCTGCATATGGGATACAATTTAAGAGACTTCAAATTTCACCAGTTTTTTTTTTTTTTTTTTTGCAACTTATTGTATTCTGCTATCAATGCCCAAAGGCAGAACTTATGAGCAAATCTTGCAGAGAAATTTCTATTAGTTCCTTTAACAAAAGCCCAAGTCATTAGCTATTTCATGGTGACCACATCAGGTAAAAACACAGTTATTTACTTTTGGCGTGCAGCTTCTTCAAAGTCTTGTTGCCTACAAAAGATTTAATATAGAACATGAAAACAGTGCAGCTGTGTAGGCAAAAGGAATTGCCTACACAATTTATTAAATGCCAATGTGTAGAAAGAGCTAAGTGAAGAAAGCCCCGTTTGAGGCTGAACTATGGGTCTTTAAGTGTTTTGTAAATGATGCTGATAAGTGAAATTTCTGGGGTACCAGGTTCTAAATATGGATGAATAGACTGTTTTTCTGTGTCCTTCTCTTAATGGGGTCTTGAGCAGTTCTATTTTTAAAAAAAAAGTCAGGTACTAATTATATCCTTCCTTCCTAGCTTCTGTAACTGGGAATTCTCCACAGAGATTTGGCCCTACCTAGTTAAGCTGCTCTTTGGCATGAAACTTGTAGAATGACAGTGATTTTTATGGGGATAATGCAAAAAAAAAAAAAAAAAAAAAAAAAAAAAAAAGAGTGTTTGGCCAGAACTGAGGTTTCTTAGCTGTAAGATGGCTGTGCCTCTTGGCCCATAGGCCCTGGTCCCTGGTCCTCAGGGGCTTCAGGAGAGGTGGCTCTGTCTCCATCCATCCCAGCTGGCTGTGATTAGGGGCAGGTCTGGCCCACACACCAACCATCTCCTTCTGGGGTCCCTGGTTTTCCCAAGAGTGAGGTCATACCTTCGGCATGAGGCCCAGCTAGAGTTAGCCTGAGAGTGTCTGCGCAGCCTGAGTCAACACATGAGGCTTTCATTAGGTGGTTCCTTGGGAGTGGGTGCCTTGCAGGCTGTGTATGTAACAGTAACCTCCCTGGATTAGGGAGCTCAGTGGGGTTTCCTGGACTCAGAGCCTGCAGGAGCCAGACAGTTCCAGTCTGCATGGGCAGCTGGTTTTCTGGAGAACAGGATAGAAGACAGGCAGTAGGGTCTGGGATTGCTCTCTCGGCCCATGGCTTGTTTGCCTTTAGGGCTGGGACTGACTCTGTGTGTCTGTGTGGATGGGTATATGTGTGTGCATTGCATGGGCTGAACTACTCAGTTAAATACTAAACAGAAAACCAAATGTTTTGCCTGATGCATAGCATAGGGCTTCCTCTTTGGCCTGTTACTGCAAAGGTTCTTTCTTGGAACTTGCCCTCAATTCTGCACTCCCAGGTGATCGCTGTCCTACTCCTCTTTCATCAGCCTCTGCTGCTAGGTGACTTTTGCCCTAGAGCCAGTCAGGGACAAGGATTCACTCTATCCTGGATGCTTTTTGCCAGGATCTCTCCTTCAGCCCAGGTTCTGGAAACCTGCAACCCTCTCCGTCAGGCTCCTGGGGGCATTTAAGCCCAGTGTCCTAAGGCCCTTCTTACACATCAGGCACCAACTTCTGTGCATGGCATCATGGTACTAGTTATGTACTGTCCTTGGAAGAATTGCTAAAAGAATCACCCAGAAAGTTTCTCCAGAGCTTAAATCTTCTAGAGAGGTTGGTTGAAAGCGACTGCGGGCTTGATCCCGCTCTAGCTGTTCCCCTCAGCTCGGCCGTCCACTGCAGCTCCCGCAGCCCCCCTGGGCCTCCTGCATCCATCTGTGCAGAATGTGGACTTGTGGGGCATCTTCAAATGCAAGGGATATTTTTGATGGCTTTCTACAACTGTGGCCATCTGGAGAGGATCCAGCTAGTTTTGCAAACAGTTTCCTGGAAAAACCAAACCAGGAGACGTTTGTAGTGGTCCGTGGTCCTTCATCGCCTTGTTCACATTTCCTAATGCGATCTTCTCTTTTCCTTAAAGAACAAAAGTCTCTCCCTCTTTGAAACCAATTCAGACCTTTCCCTCTTCCTCCTTAATTTTCCTTCTGCTTCCCCAAGATGCAGAATCTCATGAAATTCCAACACATCTGGGGGTTCAAAATGAATTCTTATCTCTCAGCAGGTTTGTAGTTGTTTTAGGAGGCTCACCACTGCCTGGATAGTGGATTTGATTCAGTTTAGTTCAATTTAAAAAAGGATTTATCTGGTGTCCAGTATCTGTGAACTGGCTTATTTTTATGGTTGGCAAGATTTACTTTTGGTTCATTTTAAGTCAAACCACTGGACTGCAAAGAACAAAGTGATGGCCAGAGTCACACGGGAGAGGTAGCCTGCATGGCCACATCTTCCCTTGCTCACTGTTGATTCAGTGCCAGTCTTAGTCCTGTGCTGATTTGTCATATGATTATGACCTTTCTATTTTCACGTGGGTTGTCCTAGAGGACAGAAACATATATGCTTAATTCTGAGTAGCGATCACTTCCGCTTCCTGTTCAGACACATCAACGTCCTGATTTGGATGCTTTGGAGCTGGCATGGGTCTCGTTTGTGAGCTAGACTGCACGGTGCTTTCCCGAGAGGAGGGAAGACACTTGATTGCAGATACGATATGGGACCTCCGGGTGTGAGCTGGAAGCAGCTGGGGCCAAAAGGAGAGGGTCCCAAACCTGAATGCACATCAGAGAACACCCAGGGAGTGTGTTAAACAAACAAACAGACAAACACACACACACACACACACACACACACACACACACACCAAAAGAATTAGAATCTCCAGGGTGGGACCCAGGAGCCTGCATTCTTTCACACGCTTGTCAGATTATGGACAGCAGTATGTGTGCATTGACGTAACTGGACCTCTTTGATCAAAAGAAAAATCGAAAGTTAAAGAGAAATCTTCAAGCCTGTGAATATGTGTATGAGCTAACGTCTGAATAGTAGGTTAATGCCTAAAAGGCAGATAAGGCATTTTCCTCTGGATGCTTGATGAAGGCAGAGGACCATCGGTGGTGGGTCAGCCCTGCCTCTCAGCAGGTGGCCTGCTTCTCGCATGTGCAAAGGCCTCAGCTTCCTTGCTCCTCTGGCTGTGGTCCAGGGACCTGCAGAGTCTGCGTCACCTGGGAACTTGCTTACAACGCTGAATCTCAGGCCCACCCCTGACAGGCTGATTCAGAGTCTACCTTTTAACAAGAGGCCCAGGTGACTCGTATGTACAGTAAAGTTGGAGAGGTACTGGA